TGCCAACTTTGTGTCTACTTACTTAACCTATCAATATCTCTCAGTTCACTTTTTGTATCAATCCCATAACCTGCCTTTACACTAATTTTTGTTTTGTTTGTGAATATGGTTGCAGTGCACTTGCTTCCTTCCTCCAAGTCTTTCCTACTGTAGTAGAATGCAGTTGGGTTGAATGCTCCAGTGGTTTAAGGGGTTTCTTAAGTGTACAAGTAGTACTTGTCACATTGCCAATAATGTAGTAGATATTACTAACAACCTATTTAAGATAGTCAGTTGAGCTTGTAATCACTAGTGTTATACATCCTCTACAAACAAAAGGAATATGATCAAGCCTTATACTTTTTTGAATTACACTGTTGCTTTCCTCATACCAATGCATTGGCCAATCAAGTCAGAAAGTCACACAACACCAGGCTATAGCCCAACAGGCTTATTTGAAATCACAAGCTTTCAAAGCACTGCTCCTTCATCAGGTGAAGTGAATTCAAATAAACCTGTTGGACTATAACCTGGTGTCGTGTGACTTCTAACCATGTCCACCCCAGTTCAACACTGGCACCATCATGGTCAATCAAGTTTAACTTGCCAACCAATCAGCATCATTTTTCCAATACTATAAGTTGTGATAATTTGAAATTGGCATTCTTGAATTTGTCCTGATAAGTGCAAGCTGAAAGTTTCTGCATGTCTCTTTGCAGCAGTGCTATGAGTCGTTATTATAGCACTAAATATAGGTCCTACATTCTCTGTCTCAAGCAAGGCAGAAAAGGAACACAATAAAGCAGGAAATGGAAGCAACAGATGTAGACACAGCAAGTGCCATGTTGAGAATAGGATTGGTGGAGCCCATTGAGCTGCTTTGAGAGCAGACTAAAAAATGCCTCCAAAGCAAAAGATGGAGAAATTAAGCACTGATGGTTCAAAATAAATCAATTGTTAATATTATAGGGAGGTGATGGCCTAGTGGTAATATTGCTAGACTATTAATCTGGGGACCCTGACTTGAATCTAGCCATGCCAGATGGTGGAATTTAAATTCCAGATTTTTATTGAATTCAAGTGTCTAATGTTGACCTTGAAACCATTGCCAATTGTTAGGAAAAGCCCATGTGACTTACTGAAGTCCTTTAGGGAAGGAAATCTGCCATTGTGACTCCAGATCCACGGCAATGTGGTTCACTCTTAACTGCCCTCTGGGCAATTGCAGATGGGTAATAAATGCTGACCTAACCAGAGACACTCCACATCGAATGAATAATAATAATAAAAAAAATTAGGTTGTACAAACTGAGCCAGACTTGAAGCAACCAACCTGACCTGACCATTGCCCCACAGGTCATCCAACACCTTCTTTGATCTACTGCTCAGTGTGTATGCTTTCAAATTCCTCGAGTTGCCAGGGCACAACTCAGGAGAATTCTTGAGGTAATCAAACTTCTGATTTCTTGACCTACCTGAAAGGTCGTCTCTATTGCTACAGAAAATATTTCCGTGATGACAGAACTATCTTCCTTCAGCTATTTGGCACTCTTAGAAAGTAAGACTGGAGGTCCCTTTAGTGTGTGCCTTTTAAAGCAGGAAATCCTTTAAAGGCATGAGTTTTTTAAAAGCCATGGGTTTAATCCAACAAATCTTGTTCCTGCTGTTGGCAACTGGAATCCCAGTGACTTTCATTCACTTTGAACGCTCCTGTTGTTTAAATTCATACAACAGAAATCAGATTCTGTAACAAGACCACAAGAACTTGCAAATTCCCATGTTGCAGTTTGCTCACCCTTTGATTTCCATCAGATTGACTCCAGTGTAATCTATTTGTAGCACTCATGCTACAGTACACAGCTTCACAATATAGAGGAAGCAACTGCATAGTTGAGACAAAATCTGATCTCGATGCAGCATCCCATGGGAGCTCCATGATTTTAATGTAGCCAAAATCTTCTCTTTAACCCCTTGGCTTCTGAAAGCTCTCAAATTTGTGTTTTCTTAGTCTGCATTTGAAAAAAAAGTTGAATGCACTTACTCTAATTAATTGCCTAATGCTAGTATACAGCATAGGAGTTATAAGACCCCAATTTTCAGTTACATCCATGCCTGGGTGTCCCTCAAAGGTGAGCACATGTCCACTGGCACACTTGAGGCATTCTGTGACAGGGAACACTGGGGCTGGTGTGCATCATCTCCCCTCCTCCTCCTAACCATAGAACTTGTGTTAAATTTAAAATTAAGTTGGTTTGATTTGTTATAGTTCCACTTAAAGGGACTATGAGCTAACTTGTTTTCCACATCTAATCAAAATGGGTGTACAATACTTACTTATTTACCTGGTGATACTGTTCCAATCCTAGTCCCCAAAACCTCAGCAGTGCCTTCCATGGGAGGCTGTTGACTGACAGGAAACTGAAGCATGTCACATTATTACAGTGGTGATTGCTGCCCTGAGTTATCAGGCACAGTTTTGGGACAGCAGGAGTTTTGCATTAGCTAGCATTCTAAATGGAAGTTCTGAGGAAGGGTCACTGGACCCAAAACATTAACTGTTCCTTCTCTGCTGCCAGACCTGCTGAGCTCTTCCAGCAACTTTGTTTTTGTATTAAATGTAAATGTTTGATAACATTGGTTGCTGTAAATTGAAGAAAAATCAATTCTCCAGCATTGATATTTGTCAGTGAAGCAGCCTGCAGGGGTCAAAGGGCTTACAGCTGCTCCTACTTATCTTCTCTCAAATTTTAAATCAAAATTGTTTAAAAATTTTGCTTTACATCTGCTCTTTTTTCTACTTTACTTTGTACTATTAATATTTCATGAATTACTGCGAACAGACTTGCAAAGCATTTATAGTGCAATTAGAATCTCAGAATTCCCACAATATGGAAGCAAGCTATTTGGCCCATCAAGTCCACACTGACCCTCTGAAGAGCATCCCACCCAGACCAACCCCCTATCCCTATCACCCTGCATTTCCCATGGCTAAATCACCTAACCTACACGTCCCTGAACACTAAGGTCAATTTAGTACTGTCAATCCAACTAACTTGCAAATCTTCAGAACGTGGGAGGAAACTGGTGGACTCTGAAACCCATGCAGGGAGAGTGCAAAATCCACACGGCCAGAGGCTGGAATCAAAACAGTTCCTGGTGCTGAGTGCTAACCACTGACATCACACTCCTCCTCCTCCTCCTCTTGCCACCAAACCTCACCGCCCCCAACCAAATCCTACACCATCATTTGTGTGCCACTGCTTTCTTCATCTCCATCAATTCTTCCTATGCTGTAGGGTGTCTTACAAGACTAGGCTGGACATGTTGAGCTTGTTACCACTGGAATTGAGCAAGGGGTGACTTGATTGAAATGCATAAGATGCTGAATGTTCCCTCTGGGTCAGTCCAGAACCAGGGAGCACTTTTTTAATTAAAAACTCATTCTTTCCTTTTTTCCTCTCCTAGAAGATAATGCAATTTGGAACGCTCTACTTTGGAAGTCAATGGAGCAGAAGGCATTGAATCATTAAGATAGAGATTCCTTTTAAGGAAGGGGAATCAAGGAATATCAGGTGTAAATGGGAATGTGGAATTTGAAACATGTACAGGTCAGTCATGATCTTGCTGAATAGCAGAGAAGGGCAAATGATCTACTTCTGCTCCTACTGCATATATCCCTATGTATGCTTGTGCCTAGATGCCAAATTTCATCCCTACTTGCTCAATGGTGGGGGCAATTCTAAGGATCCTAACTTTAAGTTTCCATGGGCATTGCTAGCAAGGCCAGCATTTACTACACATCCCCAACTGTCCTTGAATGAATTACTGCTGGCTGTTCCAGAGGGCAGTTAAGAGTAACATTGCTGTGAGGCTGGAGTCACTAATAACTAAAACGTCCAACAGAAACTGCTTCCAATGGCTGGGACAGAAATTGAAGATGATTTGGCAAAAGAACCAAAAATCACAATTAGAAAATCTTTCAAAAATTTATAATCACAATGCGTATACAAGGTGTAGAGCTGGATGAACACAGCAGACCAGGCAGCATCAGGAGCAGGAAAGCTGACGTTTTGGGTCTGGACCCTTCAGAAAAATGCTCAGGTTTCCTCTTCACTCAAGTAGACAAGCTTGCTGAGTACTTCCAATGAATTTTTTTTAAAAAGAAAAAAAGTCCTATTTGGTGTAGCTTGTAAGCTATTTGTTGACATTCAAAACTAAAGTGTTCTAGTTATCAGCATTTCTTCATTTTAGTGTAACACAGCAAAATTCCTTTACATCGGAGTGGAGTCCTCCTCCAAAACACTTAATTCGACACAATATAGAGCTCACTGCTAAATCTAGGTTCCAGTGGGTGGAGGTCAGAGGATCAAATCAAAGTTTTTGCGCTTCATCCTCCAATAGGACCATCAACAAAAGGCATTCGAGCAGAAAATAGATAAACACTTGAAGATCTTTAAAACATTTTAACTGGCTTTTTTTTTCTTTTTTGCAAGATGTGAGAAACACTCCAATTTAGAAAGTAGCCTTCACAACCTCAATGTATGAAAAACTTTAGAGCCAATTAAGTACAGGGACTGTTCTCCAGTTTGAGAATGTGGACAATCACGAGCCAGATTTATCCAACACATTTTGCTGCAACACCAGGTTTTTTAATTGCATTCTCCCTTCAACCCCTCAGTCCAACAAGGAGCAGAACCACCTTTATACACTGACCCTTCCCAGAATTCTATTTTATAACCTGTTGGATCTTAGTAATAAGCAAAGGGACACAAATTTAAAGCCTTTAGTTAGAAGCCATTTGCCAAATAAACAATTGTACTGTAGTTGAGAAGCAGAAGTTTCAGGTTGAATTCCCCACTAGTGTAGCAGCTCATTCTCCACACAGCTGTATAACAACAGTGTGATTCAGCAGCAAAAAAAAGCAAGCAGAATAATTTTCCTTAGACTAGCAACAAAATTGAAGGTTACTTTTGGGCCAGACCTTTATGAATTACCTATAATGATACTAGAAGCAACATCAGTCCTTCAGGGAGCAGATTTATTGTAAAAATGTTACACTAAAATCATGAAATTGCCACAGGCAGGAATGTTGAAATCTTTGTGAATTACAAAAGTTGCTCCAAATAAACATACAAGTTAAAATGGAAACTGGAGGCCTGCAGTTTAAAACTTTCAAGGCACATCGAGTATCAAACTCCTCTAACTTACACCTTTCTTTGCAACTGAAAAGAGTCAGATTTTCTGCTCTTCTGCAAAGTTTGGGTGGCTTTGACTTGAGTCAAGTTGGTAGATGGATGATGTGAGGCATTCTACTCAAATCCTGACTCCTCAAAGCCTGTCCACCATCTGCAAGACAGGACTGAGATGGAATACTCCCCACTTGCCTGGATGAGTGTTACTCCAACAACACTCAAGAAGCTTGACACCATTCAGGACAAAGCAGCCCACTTTACTGGTACCACATCCACTCCCTTCACCACTGCTGCTACTTAGCATCAATGTGTAGCAATTTCAAGATACACTACAGAAATTCCCCAAAGATCCTTAAGCAGCACTTTCCAAACTCACAACCACTTCCATGGAAAAAGACAAGGACAGCAGATTTGCAGAAACACCACCAGCTGAAGTTTCCTGAAGCCACTCAACAGCCTGACATGGCTGAAAATTGCACTCTTTCACTGTCACTGGGTCAAAATCATGGACTTCTCTCCGATACCATTGTGGATCAATCTATAGCACAGGCTCACTGGTTAGCACTGCTGCCTCAAAGCTCCAGTGACCCAGGCTTGATTCTACCCTCAGGTGATTGTGGAGTTTGCACCATCTCTTGGTGTCTGTGCAGGTTTCCTCTGGGTGCTCTGCTTTCCTCCAGTCAATGATGTGCAGGTTATGTGGACTGGCCAAGCTAAATTGCCTATAAATGTCCATGGATGCATATGTTAGGTGGGCCAGCCATGGTAAATGCAGGGTTACAGGGAAAGTGGGGGTGTGGTTCTGGGTAGGATGATCTACAGCAGGGGGTGGTGTGGACTTGTTGGGCCAAATGTCCTGTTTCTACACTGTAGGGATTCTGATTGTCACAGCAGGTGCACTGCAGCTCACTTCCACTTTCTCAAAGACAACTAGGGATGGGTAATAAATGCTGGCCCAGCCATCAATGCCCATGTCCCACAAATAATTAAAAACAAATTGCCCCACAATCAAATAACTATTCACTGCAAACTTAAAAGGAAGTCAAATGCAAGTAAGTCTGATCCAGTTTCCACGTAAAGTGAATATGGTCAAATATTGAAGGTGCATAGCAGTCCAGGGAACACAGTTCTTGCTAGTTTTCCCTGTACATCGTCCACACTGGTTAACCCTAGCACCTCTTCCCTTTATCATTCTGATCACTAGCTACTGGCTCAGAATAGAGTGGAAATTGAAATAGTGAAGCTGTGTAATGTGCAATGCTCAGAAACTACCTTCACTTCAGATTTATTGAGCCAACAACTATCTGGATTTCTCATACCATTCCCTTCCCACCCCCGTCTTCCAAATTGTCAAAAAATGTGACTAAACAGGTACAAGTGAACAAACAAAACCATTATTTAAATAAAGATGGCAGGTAAGTCTACCATGCAATCAGAAAGTGAGCAAATACAATTAAAGCACTGATTTATATACCAAATCCACTATTCTTGTGTTTTTGTTTAAAAACAGCATCCCCACTACCACTCATTTATATTTTAAACCATATTTAATATAACACATTATTTAGGAAAAATTTAACCTACAGCAAAAGATTGGAAACAAAAAGTTTTGGAAGTCCTTCACTGCTTAGTCAGCACCTGAGAAGAGAAACCTTTGACACAGGAGTGAAAAAGTTGTCAAAGCACTAGTTTTTCACCTTGCAGAGATGTTTCCAGGATCTTAGGTTGCCAGCACACTAATCCCACCCTCCTTCTGTCTCTTCCCTGCTGAACTTGGTTCTGCCTGCGCTTGCACCTGCACCTGCACCTGCTCTTCTCCAAACTTTCCTCTTTTTAAAGAAGAGGATCACCTCCTTGAAGAAAGCAGTTTAATAGTCCTGTGACTGAGCTTTCTCCCCAGGCTGAAGGTTTGCACGGAGACTGTGCAACTGATTCAGTGATTCTGTGAGGAAAGTCCCGATTGTGTTAATCTCCATTAATGTGAGGTTGTCCAGCTGCAGGAGACAGGAGAGAAAGCAAAAATTGAGCAATTATTAAAAATGTTCCCACTGAACCCTTGAAAATCAAAATAAATAAATACACACATCAGCCATCTCCATTTTTCACACTGGGAACCATTCGTACAGCTCAGATGTGCATGCACAGCAATTTTAGTTTCTAACTGAAGCAGTCTCCTGCTTTCCTACAGGAAACTAGTCATTTGTACAATTATTGTAATCCGTGGGCATGTTCCCGTTTGCATCACCTTTCCCTACCTATGCCAAATAGAAAACACAATAGACCCAGACCACGTTAGCAGATTCTTGGGCAGATGACAGATCCTGGCCAAACTAGTAGGTTTTAATGGAGTGTTTTTAAAAAAGGAGAGTGGTGAGCTTTTGAGAGGAATCCCAGGGCACGAACACCGGTGGTGGTGTGATTAAAACAGTGTGCTCAAGAGGCATCTTGGAGGGTTGAGGATTATAGATGTGGAAATTGAGCAGGCTAGGGGCAGTATTTGACAGCAAGGATAAAAATATTAAAGGTGAGGCATTGCTCAACCAAAAAGTGAGTCATAATAGGCCACTGAGCACAGGGGTGGTGGGGTGTCTGGATTTGCTACAAGTTAAGATGCAAGTGGTCGACTTTTGAATGATCTCAAGTTGACAAAGGATGGGACACGGAAAGTCATTCATTCACTCAAGATGCAAGGGAGGCATGGATGATAGTTTCAATAGCAGATAAGCTGAGGCAGGGATATAGTTGGGCAATGTCATAGAGCTGGAAATAGACACTGAGTTTAAGCAATGACATCCCCTCACGAATGGAGGCCTGTGTGGCCTCAGTACTTGACCATGTGGCACAACAACACAGCATAGAGGTAGTGACCAGGAATGCAAGTTTTAAAATAAGAACACACACTGCCTTTGTGCACAGGACGGAGTGAAAGCCAACTCATGATCTCCCCCTCCAGGCTGCAAACTCTACAGATGTAGAACAACAACAGATGGTAGCCTAAACTTGGGGCTTAGGTCAGTGATTCTAAGTGTGGCCTCTCAGGCACTAGGGGCCTCCAGGTGGTCTTTGAACTGATCCAAAATGCAATGCCATAGCAGAGGCCATGAGAGAACAAATAGAAGAGTCTCTCTATTACTCAACATGCCATTTCACAACGAGATCAGTTTCCCTTTGTGGCTCACATTCTCACAAGCATGTGCAACAACCATGCAATTTTAAAAAGGTTATGTCACTGTTGATTTGGTTTGATAAACATAGATATAACGTGAGATATCAAATTTAAAGATTATTATAATATAACACCTGGAACATTTCAAATAAAAGGTGTTTTTTGTTGCATTAAAGATTAGAATGGAAAAACATTTGTATTTTGTTTCTGGCATGAATTAATAATTTACATACATAAGAACCAAGAGCAAGAGAAGGCCATCTGGTCCTTCGAGCCTGCTCTGCTATTCAATAAGGTATTTTCGTGGCCTCAGCTCCACATACACACCTTCTCACTATAACCCTTAATTCCTTGATTTTTTTTTATATAAAAGTAAATCAATCAATCTTAGCAATAAAAACATTGGATGAGGAAGCCTCAACTACTTCACTGGGCAGGAAATTCCACAGATTCATAACCCTTTGGGTATAGAAGTTATTCCTCAATTTAGTCCTAAATTAGCTCCCCCTAATTTTGAGGCTGTGCCCTCTTGTTCTAGTTTCACCCACCAGTGGAAACAACCTCCCTGCTTCTATCTTATCTATTCCTTTCATAACTTTGCATGTTTCTAGAAGATCCCTCCATTCTTCTAAATTCGAATGAATATAATTCCAGTAAGTTACTGTCTCCTCATAAACCGACCCTCTTAACTCTGAAATCAACCTAGTGAATCTCCTCTGCACCCCCTCCAATACCAGTATCTCCTTTCTCAAGTAAGGAGACCAAAACTACACACAGTACTCCAGGTGTGGCCTCCCCAGCACCCTATACAGCTGCAACATAACCTCCCTGCTTTTAAACTCAATCCCTCTGGCAATGAAGGACAAAATTTCATTTGTCTTCTTAATTCCCTGTTGTACCTGCAAATCAACCTTCTACAATTCATGCACGCGAACACACAAGTCCCTCTGCACAGCAGCATGCTGCAATATTTTACCGTTCAAATAATAGTCCTTTTTATGGTTATTCCTACCAAAACGAAGGACTTCACATTTATTAACGTTGCGCTCCATCTGCCAGACCTTCGCCCACTCACTTAATCCATCTACATCCCTCTGCAAACTTTCAGAGTCCTCTGCACACTTTGCTATACCACTCATCTTAATGTCATCTGCAAACTGACACACTACACATGGTCCCTAATTCCAAATCCTCTAAGTTAGTTATAAACAATTGCAGTCCCAGTATTGATCCCTGAGGCACACCACTAGTCACTGTTTGCCAACCAGAAAAAACACTCGTTTATCCCCACTCTTTGCTTCGTTAATTAACCAATCCTCTATCCATGCTAATACATTGCCCATAATGCCATGCACCTTTATCTTTTGCAGCAGCTTTTTGTGCAGCACCTCATCAAATACCTTTTGGAAGTCCAGATACATCACATCTACTGGGTCCCCGTTGTCCACCATGCTCGTAATGTCTTCATAGAATTCCAGCAGATTAGTCAAGCATGACCTGTCTTTCATGAACCCATGCTGCATCCACACACTGGGGCAATTTCTATCTAGATGTCTTGCTATTTCTTCCTTGATGATAGATTCAAGCATTTTCCCCACTACAGAAGTTAAGCTAACCGGCCTACAATTCACCATCTTTTGTCTACCTCCTTTTTTGAACAGTGGCTGTTTTCCCATCTGCTGGAACTGCTCCAGAGTCCAGCAAATTTTGGAAAATTACCACGAGCACATTTGCTAATACTCCCTCCAGCTCTTTTAGTACCCTGGGATGCATTCCATCAGGGCCAGGAGATTAGCTTGCACAACACTACCTCTTTCATGATAATGATTTGTAATAATTTACTCAAAAATGTTTACATTTAGAGGAAAAGCAGCCAAGTTTTTATCATTTTCACATGATGAGGCTCATGGGGTCTTTTCCCCAGTTTAAGTAGCCAGTGGATCTGCCTCCCCTTGTACTATCCATGTGTCTCAAGGATCGATCTACCTCTGCCTTAAAGATATTCAGGTGACCCACCTTCACTGCTCTCTGGAGAAACTAAACAAGCGTTCTATAGTCTCAAGATCCTGAACAAAAAAATTCTCCTTGTCACCTTAAAAGGGAATCTCCTTATTTTTAAACAGTGTGGAAAAAAAAAAAAAAAATCAGACAGCCAGTAATCCTGGCTATAATGCACAGGTATACAGGACATTAACACGCAGAATCAGTGCAAGACCTCACACAATACAAACCTTAAATCCACCCTCCCCCATCATTTATTGTTAACCCATTTTATTCTCAAACAGGTTCAATGCCAGCATTGCAATGATGCTCAGAATGTCTGGACCTGTACATACACACGCGCACACACACACTGTACACTTTGGTGCTACTGAAACTCAGCAAGCGATGGATTAGCATCAGAGAGCACGAGAGTAGAGACAGGCGTTAACATACAGCCACAGACTGGATACAGTTCAGGAGGAGGCCATTTGGTCCATCATGTCTATGCTGGCTCTCCACAAGAGCAACTCTAGTCCTACTCCAGTCTTGCAAATTCTGCCTCTTCACACAATTATCCAATTTTCTTTTGGAAGCCCCTATCACATGCTCAGGCTATGCATTCATAGATCGCCATTCTGGTTGTTTTGCAGATCACCTCAAAAGTATGTGCCCTTTGGTCCTCGATGCCTCTGCCAATTCTTTTTCCCCCACTGAGGACTGTGCCAATGTCTTCCAGAACTACACACAGATTACCTCCATGGTCCCAAATGGACTCTACTCTTTTCCCAGTTAATCTCTTGCTCTTTACACATATTCTGACCTTCAAAATCTCAGAATCATGCAGGACAGAAGAGGCCATTTGGCCCATCAAGTCTGTACTGCCAAAAATACTTTACTACCTACACTAGTCCCACTTTCTCACGTTAGCCCATAGCCTTGAATGTTATGACACTTCAAGAAGGGAAACAGCTGCTTTCTATTCACCCTGTCCATGACCCTCAAACTTATACACCTCAATCAGGTTCCCTACTCAACCTCTATTCCAAAGAAATGAGAACAGTTTCTCCTGCTCTACTCTGTCCACATCCCTCATGATTCTGAACTTAAACTCTCACCTCAACCTCCCATTCTCCAGGGAGAATAACCCCAGCTCTGCCAATCTACCATACAACTGGTCGGCATGGACTATTTAGACTGAGGAGACTGTTTCCATGCGGTATGGCTTTACAACTGAAGTCTCAGATACAAGGCACTTTTGTTTCAAATTACGGCATCAGGAGCTTGTTGCTAAATCGCTGAAAGTTTCATGAGTAATCAATGAACTCAAATCAAATCGGTTTCTGAGCATTCCTTGAAGACTGGCTTTCACAATCAGTAACACAGAAGAACAGCAACCTCTAGTGGCAGAGGAAATACACAAAAAGGTCCAACTACTTGACAAGTTAATGGAGGGATACTCAGAAGTGATATTTTCAGTTACATAAAAAGAGGCTTCTATTTCTTTTAAAAAGGAACTCAAAACAGGAGGAAATTGTTGCTGGAACCCACCAAGCACTTATGGCCCTGTAAACACCATGCAATATTTTACTTTGCTTCAAGTGCAACTTATTATTGTGGTTGAGGATTAAGATCATATCATACAGGTTCCTCAAACTTTGCCCAATAAAAAAAACAGGCCATAAGTGAAGACGCTGTATTGCGGGAAAGACATAAAAGGCATTCAATGCTTGAAAATAAAAACAGGTTTTAAAACTAGGAAGAGTGGGTGGAATGGCAAAGAGTAAATCCGAATAGTTTGGCAAGTGGGAGGGGGAATACAGGTCACAGAGAGAGAAGAGTCTGGAAACAATTCAGAATCCAAGCCTCAGCATAGTCCTCCTTTCCCTCAGAGGTAAGGCAACCCCACACTTAAGAGCTCTGACCACTTCCTCATATCCCTTCCAGATCCATACTAGGACAAAACTGTCCTCACTCATTTACAACTCCCTAGCGTTTGGCCTTCCAATTACCGTGGCGGTTCTGTGCACCCCCGCCCCCGGATTTGAATCCATTTCCATTTCCTCAAGTCCAGCCATGCAGCCAGTTGGGGAGATGGTGGCATAGTTCTAATGTCACTCAACTACTAATCCAGAGGCACAAGCTCATTCTTTTTTATTCTTCATGTGGGCATCGCTGTCTAGGCTACCATTTATTGCCTGTTCCTAGTTGCCCTTGAGAAATTACTGGTATGCTGCCTTCTTGAACCGCTGCACTACATGCGGTGTAGGTAGACCACAAGGCCATTAAAGAGGGAGTTCAAGGACTTTAAACCCAGCAACACTGAAGGAACGGTGGTATATTTCCAAGTCAGGATGGGGAGTCACTTGGCTGGGAACTTGCGGGTGGTATTCTCATTTATCTGCTGCCCAGGTTCTTCTAAATTGGTCTGGCATTTAGAGTACCAAGTAGCTTTATCCCAGAATATCAATATAGAAGGTTACCAATGTTCTAGAGACTTGGGGTCAAACTCCAGCATGACAACTGGTGGAATTTAAATTCAATACACAAATTTGGAATACAATAAACTACTTGCTTCACTAATTCCCTTTAAATGACACCTGCCATCCTTATCCAGTCTGCCCTACATGCAACTCCAGACCCACAGTATTATGGTTAACTCTTAACTGCCCTCTGAAGTAGCTGATTTGCTCTTAAACAGAGTAGCTCATTAGGGATGGGCAACAAATGCTGGTCATTGCCACATCCCACAAAAAATAAAGTTTTAGGAAGGGCTTCATTTTATCTGTTGAATCAGCAGTTCTTCTGGATTACAGCAAACGTTGGTGAGTCTTCTTCTTGTCTGCTACAACTTGTCCACCAACCAACAATGGAGATGGCTTCTTGTTGCTTTCACCACCTGCTCACATTTCACACCCTGTTCCCAACTGTTCCACACTCGCCTTGACAAGCAAGGAGTTCATGCATAACTTTGGCACAAAGATCGAGGCCACCACTTCAGCGGCCTTGCCAACTTCACCACCCGCACTCCGAGTGCCACAAACCTCCAGAGCTTTGCTGTTGATCCTGGAATTCTTCCCAGCTACTATCTCCTGCTGAACCAGACTGTCTGTAATTTTTAATCAAATACAAGTCAAGCTTCCAAGCCCACAAAGGTCAGTCTACAACACCTACTTCTGTCGTAGCTCATCTGTCGCTGCAATCTTCAAGCCGTGCCTCATCCTGATCAAGAATGAGCAAAATGGGAACCAAGGATACCAATTTGAATTTCTTATACCTAAATCCTTTCACAATCTTGCTCCTCACTTGTTCCACAAATTCTCCAAATTCTGGCCTCTTGTACATCCCATCATCTTTGCAAATCCTTCCTTAAACCCTCCACTCCTTTTCTACACCCTTTTGTTGAAGCTTAATTGATCACTCTTCTGAATCTCTTGGTCTTAGCAGCCTTTATTTTTCCTGACTAAGCCTTTGTGACATCTCAGCAGATGATCTTCTAAGCTAAAAGGAATCTATATACATACAATTATGTGTCAAATTGTAGGTGAAGTGTCAGATTTTCAAGTTGGGATTATGTGGGCATCAAATTTGGGGAATAAAAAAAAAAAAAAAAAAATCAAAATAACCTTACCTTTGCATGCACCTCTTGTTGATTCACAAAATTATCTGCAGATAACCGCAGCTTTGCAATGCGAGTATCCCAAGTATCTTTTACCAAGGTCCGGATTTCGTCAGCTTTGGGAATATTGTCAGAGGCACTGGGGAACAGCAAAAGCACTTAGAACTACTGCACCACTAGACTAGGAAATACATCATGTGACATTTTAGCTTTTCTGAAAAAAAAAAAGATATTTTGGGTTGTGGTTGCGATTTTCAATCCTGTTCTTGTGCTTTCCTTTGACTCTTAATGTTTGATACACAATTTAGGACACGGTCACCAGTACATCTTTTAAATCACTGTACTTTCTACCTACACTGCAATAAACCACACTGCACGAACAGATCATACAGGACTTAATGACAGACTTGTCTTCCTTCCTCCTTAAACTTAAAATTTACAGCCAGTAACAAGACTCCGACCAACCGGTTCGCTTTTTGTGCTCCAAAGGAGCTTCCTCCTCCAACTGTACTTCCCTTCATCATGTCAGCATAGCCTTCTATTTCCATCTCTCTCCTGTGTATAAATCACACCTTTCTTTAAGTGCATCTATGGCATTTGTCTCAAACCCACTTCCAAAAATGGTAGTGAGTTCTACATTCTAACCAGTCTTTGATAAAGAAATTCCTCTTGTAGTCCACATTGGATTGATTAAAGACTATCGCATAACGATGGCCATTTGTTTTGTCATAACTATTTCATAAAATGCTCAGTTCATTTTAAAGCTGCTGCATGGTGCATGGGAGCCGTATTCTAAATAGACATCAGTGCCTGAAAAGCATACATGGGAGTTTCTAAGTCATTTGCAATTGAAATCATTGAGTTGTCATTGCTTTCACAGATGTACAAAGAATGGCTACCTTCCTAAAAGTAATTTGTAAAATAAAGTATGCGTGGAACATTAATCATGGGGGAAAGAGGGTGGCATAATGGTAACGTCACTGGATTAGTAACCAGAGCCCCAGGCTAATGATCTGGGGGAAAATGGGTTTAAATTATACCAATACAGATGGTAAAATTAGAATTCAATAAAAATCAGGGATTATAAGCTAGTCTAATGATGACCATGTAACCATTGTTGATTGCCATAAGAACCCATCTGGTTCACTAATGTCCTTCAGGAAAGGAAATCTGCCATCCTTACCTGGTCTGGTCTGGTCTACATATGACTCCAGAGCTACAGCAATGGCTTACCAAGCCATACAATTCAATGGCAATTAGCGACGGGCAACAAATGCTGGCCTTGCCAGCAGCACCCACATTCATACAAGAATAAATAAAGAAAAAAAACACATCAATCTCCTAAGCAAGAATATGCTTAGATAAAAATGAAGACCGAGACTTCAAAGCTGCACAGTAATAAAGCAAAGGTTCAGTATTCATCCTCTCCAATCTGCCTAATTGGAGTTGAAATGCTCCTGTTCCTTCGTCAATGCAGCTTCAAGTTGACCATTGCAAGACACGCACAATGTCTCCTTGTTTTCCCTTTTAGTTTGGATAGGGTTCCGGGGAAATGAGGAGGTAACAGCTATCTGATCTAAACCCGGAGTCCCTGCTGACATCATCACCAAGGGATATGGCCAAATCCAAGTGTCAACTCGCGTCCTATAGATTTGATGCAAAGTGAAAGCCAACTTGGTCAACAAACAAGAAAAAGTTCCTCAAATTTTGATGGATATCAAAAACAAAGACTTTTACTGTTCCAGCTGCTGTTCATAATTTTAATCTATGAATCAGAACAGGAACCAGCTTATATCACTAACAATGGCAACATTCAAGGTGGCCATGGTAACAAGTTCATCCTCACTCAGTACTGTCCTCAGTCAGCAGTGTGGTACCACAATGGGCTCGGAGAGAATTATAAGTGGTTTCAGTTACAATTCTATCAGCATGCTTGCATACATTTCTCTTTGCACATACATGTTACTCTTATGCTTTTGCGTCTGTGCAAATATGTGTGCATGCATGAGGACAGATACCACTGATTGCACCAGAATGGTTTGGACCGCAACCCATCACAAACAACTTGCCAATTCTCACTGCAAAGGCTGACACTCTGGGTAAGGGTCAATGGGAAGAAGCATCAACCACTAAACAAAATGCAAACATTGACCTAAGACATTCAGAAGAAGGATTCAAAATAAGTACCATTATGTGTTTTCTAGGTATAGGAAGAACTTACTGATTCAACAGCAACTTAGTCAGTTCCATGTAATGTGGGTTGGGCATCGGAGTGAAGGTTTCTTCTTTACGCTCCTGTTCCTTGATTTGTTCAAGTTTGTCTGAAAAATAACAAAATGGTTATACATTTGATCTGATTTGGTTGATTGCCATATATGCTTAAGTACAGTGAAAAGCTTTGTTTGCGAACAGTACAGGCACATCATAGTCAGCAAGGACATACAGATCATAGGAGTGAAAAAGAAACTTGGACAGAGTAAGGCATGCAGGTTACAACTCATAGAACTTGCGCTAGACAAAATCAAAATTAACAAGGTCAGCATTATTTGAAGTTAGAGAGTCCATTCATCAGTCTAATAACGGCAGGAAAGACGTGATGCATGTGTTCAAGCTTCTGTATCTTCTGCCTGACGGAAGAGGTTGTAGGAGAGCATTACTGGGGTGGGATGGGTCTTTGGTGATGTTGGCAGCCTTTCCGTGGCAGCGAGATGTGTAAATGGAGTCCGTGGATGGGAGGTTGGCTTTTGTGATGGTCTGGGCTGTGCACACCACCTTCTGTAGTTTGTTGGTTGGTTGTCGGTTATTGTCACTCCTAGGAACTTGATGCTTTCAACCCTCTCAACCTCCGCTCCGTTGATGTAGATTGGGGCGTGTTCGTATTTTCCACCTTTCTCTCTGAAATCAATGCTCAGTTCTTTAGTTTTAATGACATTGAGAGAGGTTGTTATCGTTGCACCACATCATCAAGCCCTCTAGCTCCTTTCTGACACATCGTTGTTTGATATCGGTCCTTCCACGGTGGTGTTGTCAGCAAACTTGTAGATGGGGTTTGTTCAGAATTTGGCTACAGTTGTGGGTGTACAGGGAGTACAGTCAGGAGCTGAGAACGCATCACTGGGGGCTCCAGTGTTGAGGGTTATCGTGGAGGAGGTGCTGTGTCTATCTTCACTGATTGCGGTCTATGGGTTAGGAAGCTGAGGATCCAGTTACAGAGGGTGAGGCCGAGACCTAGATGTCAGAATTTTGAGATCAGTCTGCAGGGGATAATAGTGTTGAAGGCGGAGCTGTAGTCGATAAGCAGGAGTCGGACGTAGTTGTCCCTGTTGTCGAGATGGTCCAGGGTTAGGGAAATGGTGTCTGCTGTGGACCTGTTACGTTGGTAGGCTGTGACAGAGGGAATAGGTGCATCTGGGGAGGTCAGGGCAGGTGACGTCATATCATTGGCATTCTTCTCAAACTGAGTATGGAAAGCATTGAGTGCATCAGGGAGGGATGTGTCTTTACCTGCTATCTTGCTTTGCTTCATTTTGTATCCCATTATGTTGTTTAGGCCTTGCCACAGGCAGCAGGAATCCTCAAGATTAGTTTGGGCCTCTAACTTGGTCCAGAACTGCTTTTTGGTATCTCTGATGACTTTGTGGAGGTCATATCTGGATTTAATGGCAAATACCATTAGCCCTGTCTTAAAGTCCTCAAACATAGCTGATGTGACTGCACAAGTACAATAATAGTCAGCAGTAGCACTCTCATTTGAGATGGAGAATGTTGTAGATTTGGTTTTCAATTCAGAGTCTTTAGCAAAGTCCAGACTGACACTTCTGTGCAATACTGTGAGTGGTTTTGCTATAGGAGGCACCAAACAGAATCCTTTCGGGTGACCGTAATGGATCACATCATACAATTTCAAAAGCACACACAAGAATTCTCCAGCACTTGTGGACAAAATCCACCCCTCAAGGAAGTCTATAAAAATGTGTTGTAGTCACAGCTTTTCTATGGAAATACTGAACTTACATTCCAATACAAGTAAGTCTTTTCTAAAAATAAAAAGGGCCGATGCAGCTTTTTCTCCCACTGTACCGATAAATTCAATGACTATCTGGTAGAGGCCTTTGCAGAGCCAAGGAATATCACAATTATACAGAGTGAGGGAAACATCAAAAACAGAAAGAAAAAGTAGTTTTAAACAAAAAGGGAAGAGACAATGAGAGGCTGATGACCAAAGCCCATGCAGCAAGAGGTCACCTCCCTCAGATATATTTTAAAAAGAAAAGGGTTAAGAGCAAGCTTCAACACTGGTCTGTTTGTTTGTTGCCTGACTAGTGTGCTACGAAGGTCGCAACGTTGAGAACAGCCATTAGAGACTCCTACATTGCAGGTAAAGAAAGAGAAAACACTCTCTCTCATTTAGGAGAGCTGCCAGCCACTAGCCACTGTTGATCGGAATCAAACAGAAGATTTGCAAACAGCCTGCAAAGCTTAGAATCTCAAAATGAACTATTCCACTACTAATGTCAAAGCTACCAGTAACATCCAATCACAACAGCCGCTATGTTCTACTACCCACTCTTCACGAATTATTTCGAATGATTTGGATATCCTTGTTAAGAAACTATTTTTTGGATTCATCTCATATCAAAATTTGTGCTGTCATCGCTTCTCACGTTTAGTAACTAATAAATTCTCTTTGATTGAACAAAGGAGCCTAGTCTTTTAAAAACAAGCTCATTTGGTCTGGGAGAACAGGAACGGCTCTTTTTAAAATTAGTCTTCCTGTGGCCAACTCAGGGGCTGAGTGAATAATGAAGGGGAGCCAATTCATCCCTTCTCATCTGAGATTGTTGATCCAGGGTCTCCTTTCCAGAACTGTAAAAATAAGTTTGTTGGGTTCCCCAATTTATTACTGTACTGAAATCAAACAAATGCTGGAAATCACAGTGCGTCAGGCAGCATCCTTGGAGACAGCAAGCTACATCTTCCTTTGTGCCTTAAGTAGTAACCACTTTTCAAGAAGTTAAAGCATTGGCAGCAGAGCAATGTGGATGTTCTGAAGACATGAAAACTGCTGCTATACAAACAACAGCTTTCCTTCTCAAGGCTGCAGCATTTGAAAAAGAGTGATTCTGGACTGAATGGCATATTGACTCAGCAACATGACAACCACAACCAGCACTTATAAGAAGCAACCTCAATGCACTTTACATTGTTATTGTCAATAGCGGGGCCAACCAATACCAATGGGCAAAGCCTCCCACACCCGTCATTTCACCACAAAAATCGCAATCCTCCAAGAGGCCATGAAGATAGATAAATGGAAAATGCAGCACAAACGGAGGGTACGCTTTCAGCAGAACTCCCTTGGGGAATTATTCCGATAACAGGTGCCAGAACCAGCTGGGGATTGACATCAATTCGGAAACGAGTCACCACCCTCTCACTCACAAACTGAGACACCCCACCAAAACCAAGTACACAGATAAAAACAAACAGCATTGTAAATTACACACTGTACTTTCTTATTTAAATCTCAAACACTCAAAATAACTCACCCACATCCATCCAATCTGGAACTACAATCCTGCACTTCTGTCGCTGTTTCAGATTAATAGCGAGCCACACAGGTACTTCAACTGGAAGCCCTGGATTGAATGGTCCCAAATCTCCCTGTATACAAAAGCCACCAAAAGCAAAACAGAATCATAAGGGCACAGAAGGCAGCATTCAGCCCATCGAGCTCATGTTGGATTGGCTAGAGTTTATGGAAATCAAATTAATGTCAAAAATTTAGCACAACCTGAAGTGGATTAAGCATTTATATATCTTTGCACTACTTTTGGAGCCTTGCAGTATAATTGGCACATTTGTTTGTACAAGAAAAAAATTACTTGTCAAAATAATGAGATATCCATAAAATACTTTGGGGCATTTCAAAGACACAAATTAATACACTGCCTTTATAAAGTAAAAGCATGAAAAAGTAATGTCAACAAAGAAGAAACACCCAAAGGAAGTGGTGGAGGCAGGTATAATTACAACATTTAAAAGGCCTCTGGATGGATATATGAATAGGAAGGGTTTAGGAGGATATGGACCAAATGCTGGCAAATGGAGCTGCATCAGGCGGATGTCTGGTCGGCGCAAATGAGTTGGACCGAAGAGTCTTTTTCGCGTGCTCTATGAATCTATGACATCTCACAGCCTGGAGTGTGGGGGTGGGTAAAAGATATGGAAGGTGGTGTTCAGGTTCCAAAATTATTGAACTTGATATTGAGTGCTGAAGGCTGCAGGGTTGCCAAGTGGAAAATGAGATGCTGTTCTTCCAACTTGCACGAGCCTCCCTGGAGCTCTGCAGCAGACCCAGACAGAAACGTTGCCCAGGAAACAGTATGGTGTATTAAGTGGCTGGGGTAACAGCATCCCATTTTCTGCTTGGGGAGCCTGCAAGCCTTGAGGACTCAATATCGAGTTCAACAATTTTAGAACCTGAACACCTGCTTCACCCACCTCCTCACCCCAGGCTCTGTCATGACATGGGTTGCTTTCAGCCCAGTCTACCCATTTTCACCTACTTGTGGGCCCCATTATCAGCTTTTCTTTCAACCCTGGCTTACCATTACTGACCTCCTTTCCCTCTCTCTGGGCTCTGTCTCCACCAGTCCTCACCTCCTCTAGCCTCTCACCACATACACTATTTTCAGCTTATATGCCATCTTTTGCTAGCTGCTAACAGTTCTGAAGGTTCACCGGACTTGAAACATTAAGTCTGATTTTCTCTCTCTCCACACTTTCAACAGACCTCAGCTGTAAAGATATACATGACAGAAACAGATCCTTTGGTCCAACTGATTCATGCCAATCAGATATTCTAAATTAATCTAGTCCCATTTGCCAGCATTTGGCACCATATCCATCTAAACTCTTCCTATTCTTGTATCCATCCAGATGCCTTTTAAATGCTACAATTGTACCAGCCTCCACCACATCTTCTGACAGTTCATTCCATACATGCACCACCCTCTGCATGAAAAAATTTCCCCTTAGGACCCTTTCAAATATTTCACCTCTCACCTTGACCCTATGCCCTCTAGTTTTGGATTCCCCTACCCTGGGGAAAAGACCTTGACTAGTCACCCTACCAAGCCCCTCATGATTTTATAAACCTCTATAAAAATCACCCCTCAGCCTCTGATGCTCCAGGGAAAACAGCCCCTCCCTGCAGCTCAAAGTCCCCAATCCTGGCAACAATCTTTTAAATCTTTTTGGAACCCTTTCAAGTTTCACAATATCTTGACTATAGCAGGGAGACCAGAACTGACACAGTATTTCAAAAGTGGCCTAACCAATGTCCTGTAGAGCCAGAACATGACCTCCCAACTCCTATACTCAATGCTCTGACCAATGAAGGCAAGTGTACCAAACATTTTCTTCACCACCCTCTCTACCTGTGACTCCACTTTCAAGGAACTATGAACCTGCACCCAAAGGTCTCTTTGTGGGCAACACTCCCCAGATCCTTGCCATTAACTGTATAAGTCCTGCCCTGATTTGCTCTACCAAAATGTAGCATCTCACATTTATGTAAATTAAACTCCATCTACCACTTCTTGGCTCATTGGCCCATCTGATCAAGGTTCCGTTGCTCTCTGAAATAACCTTCTTTGCTGTCCACTACATCACCAATTTTGATGTCATCTGCAAAATCACTAACCATACCTTCTATGTTCACATCCAAGTAATTTTTATACATGACGGAAAGCAGTGGACACAGCACCAATCCTTGCAGTACACCGCTGGTCACAGGCCCGCAGTCTGAAAAGCAATTCTCCACCACCACCCTCTTGTCTCCTACCTTTTATCCAATTTTGTATCCAAATGTTTAGTTCTCCCTGTATTTCACGTGATCCAACCTTGTTAACCAGTCTACCATTCGGAACCTTGTCGAATGGCTTAATAAGTCCATTCAGACAATGTGCATCACACTGCCTTCGTCAAGCCTCTTCGTCACTTCTTCAAAAAACTCAATCAAGTTAGTGAGGCATGATTTCCCATGCACAAAGCCATGTTGACTATCCCTAATTAGTATTTGCCTTTCCAAATACATGTAAATCCCTGTCCCTCAGAATTCCCTCCAACAACTTGCTCACCACTGATGTCAGGCTCACTGGTCTATAATTCCCTGGCTTTTCCTCACCACTTTTCTTAAATAATGGCACCATGGTAGCAACCTCGTCTTCAGGGACCTCACCCGTGGCTATCCGAGATACAAATATCTCAGCAAATGGCCCAGCAATCACTTCCCAAGCTTCCCACAAAGTTTTGGGTACACCTGATCAGGTTCCAGGGATTTATCCACCTTTATGCATTTTAAGACATCTAGCACCTCCTCCTCTGTAATATGGACACTTCAAGATATTGCTATTTATCTCCCCAAGTTGTCTAGCTTCCATATCCTCCTCCACAGTAAACACTGATGCAAAGTACTCATTTAGTATCTCCTGTAGTTTCACACATAGGCGGCCTTGCTGAACTTTAAAGGGCCCTATTCTCTCCCTAGTTACTCTTTTGTCCTTCGTGTATTTGTAGGACCCCTTTGGATAATCCTTAACCCTACTTGCCAAAGCTATCTTATTTCTCCTTTTTGCCCTGATTTCCCTCTTAAGTTTATTCCTACTGCTCTTATATTCATCCAGGGATTCACTCGATCCCTGCGGTCTATACCTGACACAGGCTTCGTTCTTTTCCTTGACCAGAACTTCAATTTCTCTAGTTATCCAGCATTCCCTACACTTACCAGCCTTGCCCTTCACCCTAAGTGGAACATACTGTCGCTGGACTCTCGTTATCTCATTTTTGAAGGCTTCCCACTTTCCAGCCATCCCTTTATCTGCAAATATCCACCTCCAAATTAACTTTTGAAAGTTCTTGCCTAATGCCATCAAAAGTGGCCTTACTCCAATTTAGACCTTCAACTTTTAGATCAGTTCTATCCTTTTCCAGTTCCTAGAAGCCTGGTACTCCACGAAGAAAGCCATCAACAAACACAAAGGACTCGACCCCATATACACTCCATTGCGAAGGAAAACCAGAAGTGAGGTAATCCAGCTCAACGGACTCCAGAGTTTAAAAACCAGGTGGGAAAACACAACGGCGCTTCAGCAGAGACTACACTGTTGATGTTACCCAGCAGGGTAATGAAACGTCTGCAGAACAACAAAGAACCAGCTCGGCAAGCCAACCAACCACAAAATCCACAATCAGAGCAACAAATCTACTCCAAAACCTTAGAGACTAATAGAATTATGATCACTGGCCCTAAAGTAGCTCCCACTGACACCTCAGTCACCTGCCCTGCCCTATTTCCCAAGAGAAGGACTAATTTTTGCTCTTTCTCTAGTAGGTACATCCATATTCTGAAGAAGTAAATTTTCTTGTGCACACTTAACAAATTCCTCTCCAAGCAAGCCCTTAACACTATGGCAGTCCCAGGCTATGTTTGGAGCCTGCTCAGCTTCTCTAGCAATTTCTGGTTTTTGTTTCAGATCTTCAGCATCAGTAGTCCTTTGTTTAATTTTGGGTTTCAAACTTGTCAATTTGCA